AAGTATAGGCGTGTGTGTAAGACATTCCTTTAATGTTTGAAATGCTCGATCTTGGGCCTCATTCCATTCAAATTTAGCATCTTTACGAGTCAAAGAGGTTAGTGGTACTGCGATCTTAGAGAAGTCCTTGATAAATCGTCGATAGTACTCTGCCAGACCCAGAAAACTCCGAACTTCCGAAGCATTCTTTGGTTGCTCCCATTCTTGAATTGCTTCGATCTTGGCTGGGTCTACAGAAATACCGTCTCCGGATACGGTAGCCACAAGAATTGTACCTGTCGAAGCCAGAATTCACATTTCGAGAATTTTGCATAGAGTCGTTCTTTTCTCAACAATTCTAGCATTTGACGTAAGTGTGTAGCGTGTTCGTTTTCAGATTTTGAGTAAACCAAAATATCATCGATGAATACGATCACAGACTTGTCGAGCATAGGATAACATACTCGATTCATTAAGTCCATAAACACTGCAGGTGCGTTTGTAAGTCCGAATGGCATTACGAGGAATTCGTAATGCCCATAACGGGTCCGAAAAGCAGTCTTGGGTACATCGTCCTCCCGTACCTTGAATTGGTGATAGCCAGACCGTAAGTCAATTTTAGAAAAATATCTTACTCCTTGCAACTGATCAAAAAGATCGTCAATTCGCGGTAATGGATATTTGTTATTTATAGTTGCCTTGTTAAGCTCACGGTAATCTATACATATCCGGAAAGTTCCATCTTTCTTCTTAACGAACAGGACTGGAGCACCCCACGAATATGTGCTTGGTCGGATAAAACACTTGTCCAATAATTCATGCAGTTGTTTCATCATTTCTTTCATTTCCGCAGGTGCGAGACGATACTGTGTCTTTGCTATCGGAGCTGCACCCGGTATCAAGTCTATATGGAATTCTACTTGACGATCGGGTGGTAATCCAAGCAGATCATCCGGAAATACATCCGGATATTCACAAACAATCGGAACGTCCTTCACCGTTTTCTTCAATTTCTTCGCCGCATCCATAACATAGGCTAGAAAAATTAAGCAAGACCCTTGATTAGATAACGACGAGCTTTTAGCATAGAGATTACCTTTATGTCGATCACACGCCGCTCACCGTAAATGTATAGGTAATTCCCCTTGCTAATTGGTATCTGAATCATTCGTTGTGAACATATGATGTTGGCTTGATTCTTTGCCAACCAATCCATACCAATAACAACATCGAATCCATGTATATCCGTTGGAATGAGATCAATAAGAAATTCATAATCATCTAAAAGCAATATACACTCTCTAAATACCTTATCAGCAACTAATAGTACTCCGCTCGCGGTGTCAATAGTGAAAGGTTTTTCAAGCATAGTAGGCACAGATTCAATATAGCGAATATAATCATTTGACACAAAAGAATTTGTTGCACCAGAATCAAATAAAATACGAGCAAGCCAAGAATTAACAAGAAATATACCTGTAACAACGCCGGGATCGTTCATGGCTTCCTTCGCGGTAATTTGAAATGCCCTGGTCTGAGGTTTTGGAACCTCCTCCTTTTTGGTCGAAGCCCCCGTTGTATGTATCGGTCGTTGTCTTGGTTGTTGTACCGACCTCTTACTTTCCTCCAGTCTATTCTTTGTACATTCTCGCATACGATGACCTAACACACCACAATTATAACATGTCTTTTCTCTTTGAGGGCACTGAGTTTGTATGTGCCCAGCTTCACCACAATAGAAGCATCATACATAAGTTTGATCACCACTACATCATCCCTGGTAATTCTTGCCACATCAGTTGCAATTCCGTGGCGTATTTGACTGCATTGTATAAGACTGTGAGGTAGTGTGTGGTGTATTATGCGATTAAGCTTGTCTCGACTTGAAAAATCGAGATGATTTAGATATCGGGGTCGAGAAGGTTCTCTCAACTCTCGATCGTTTCTCCGGTACATCAGAACCATCAGGGAGACTCAGGTCATGCTCCCGTTTCCTTGCATACTCAACTGCTTTGGTAAATGATGGTACGTCGCGATTGGTGACGAAATCGCGAATATTCCATCGAAGACCGTTGACAAAATGATTAATCTTGTCCTTTTCACTTGGTACGAACCGTTGGGCAAACTGAAGCTTCCGATTGAACTCTGTTTCATATTCAATCACTGACATGAATCCCTGTTTGAGCTCTAGGAATTCCTTCTCAAGCTTTTGTTTCAGATCATCCAGACAATATTGTTCGAAGAACAATACTTGAAACTCTTCCCATTTCGTTCTATCTCGAGTATTAGGATCCATTGATCGATATGTGGCGTTCCACCAAGTAAGTGCATGATCGGTAAATGTCGCTGTAGCATAACGTACTTTATCCTCCTCCTGCACGTAAGCAATCCTGAATAACTTTTCAGTGTTTTCGGCCCATTGCATTGCAAGTACTGGGTCCGTCTGTCCCGAGAACTCTTTAGCCCCACTGCTTTTAAATGTTTTAAATGAAGGCCGGTCCGACTTTGGTTTGGGTACGTCTTCATTAACCGGYTTCGGTCCTTGGACAACCGGATTCTGAGCGTTATCTGGATTTTGTACTTCAGATAACTTTCTTTCAAACTCTATTCTTTGTTCTCGTAGAGCAGCCCGTGTTTTTGATCATTCATTATTTTCAATAACCTCTCAGTACGAGGTGATAGTTGGGCTTCATCGTCATTGTCATCATTTTCTTGGACATTTCCTTCTAGATTGAGGTTGTTATCCCCAATTTCATGAGTAACCGGCGCATTGGTAGATGCATCGTGTTCAGACATCGCACTGAAATTATAAAACATATATATAGGGGTCAAATAATATTTTATCCCTTGTACCCCAACAAATCATAGGTCTCTCCTATTGGTCTATATCCCATATAATCAAAACATAGTCATTATACAATGTTAATACCTAAGTTTGAGTCCGGATATCATTAATGATATCCAGTTCACTCAAACCACAGCTCTGATACCATATCTGAAACATCTCGCTTGAGCAATCCCCAAATTACCAATTTTACAAAATCTCCAATAAAATATAATTTATTGATTATTGGGACCAAAATTGATCCTAATTATTCTAAAAGTTTTGTCAAAGCAATCGGGGCCAAGGATGGAAAATCATAAAATGTTGCTGAAACGACTAAGTCTGGAGGAAGACCATAGGCGATGAATTAGTCTAGAGGCAGGCGATGGACCAGAGGCTGCTGAAATGACTAAGTCTGGAAGAAGAACAGAGGCGATGAATTGGTCCTGAGGCGATGAGGGTCCAAAGGCGATGAGGGTCCAGAGGCCATGAAGGACCAGAGGCCATGAAGGACCAGAGGCGATGAATTGATCCAGAGGTGATGAAAATGGACCAACCCTTTGAAACACACAGATCTGGACATAACATTAATTAACCTCAAAATATGGGATATTAATTTTCTAAAAAAACTTCGAAATATCCGTTCTATTTTAGTGATAAAACCACCCGAAACATAATTCCAAACCGGATATAACGGAGTTTTTACTTACAACCYGAATTAWGTAGSAAAAKAATACGGGACAAGAYTATATATAAGCTACA